CAGGCAGGCGCTTACGCCTTAGCTATATCCCCAGCCCATGAGCTAAGCATTTCAACTTGTTGTTTCCTAGAGCTCTAGACTGGTCTTAGACATAGAGCTTGCCAGAAGGTACTGTAATAGCTGATGTTTTCTCTTCTTCCTTTTGTAATGTGAGCATGTGGAGAGAAGGGGAAACACATCTGTTCATCATTTACCTCTTCTCTTTTCTCTCTTGCTGCTGGTGTCTGGCACACAATGTGTATGGAAAGGAAAAATTCAGTAGCACAGCTACTCTTTAGTAAGCCACTTCACATTTAGTTCTTTACCTGAAACTTGTACAACTGACTAGTTCCTTCCTTTATAAAGTGCTAACAGTGGTACTATCTGGAGGATCAAATGATATTTACCAGTACATTTCTGCACTTCTATAATCAGTATGATGGTCTACTGCCTTATGTGTAAGGGTGTTGCACAAAGACATGGTACATATTCTAGGCATCTACAGGAACAATATGGGAGAATAGGACACAAGATAAAAGATAAATAACAAGAGATACTACTAATGGGCACCAGCTTTGCTGAACAGGAGGGAACATATAGAGGGAAGGAGGTATAAATATTAAAAGATGATAAACACCTAGTCAAAAACTTTATTTTGTAAACAGTAGAGACCAAATCTGGCTGGGGTGGGGGGGGGTGGTAGATGTATAGAAGGAACATGTGGCTAGGCATTCAGACTCCAAAATTAAGACTGTGTGATTTTAACTGCCACCTACAACTGTACAACTTTGGGTAAATTAATCTCTCAAGGACTCAACTTACCCATGTGCACAACACAGACAGTAATAGCTATTTCAGAAGGGCATCTGAGGATTAAAGGAGAAAAACTTGAAAATATGCAGATAGTGTGCCTATTACATGTAAGCTTTAGATATGTTTTAATTGACACTTCCATTATTCTATAAGGCATTATTTAGGAAGAGTAATCTTACAAAGATGGGTGGTCAGGAACTGAATATGGAAGAAACTCGAGGCGGAAAAGCCTGTTAGAAGGTAGTAACTGTTCCAGACTATAAGAGTTAGGAACAGGTTAAATGGGAAACATACTATGAAGGAAAACCTACCTGCATTGGTGATTGACCAAAGAAAATTTACCTCTGCAGGGACAAGAAGAGGAAGCCAGAAAGGCAATACCTAGGAGACTTGGCAGAACCACAGAAAGAGCTAATAGTCTAAGGAACTTGCTTTGGATCTGGTTAAGGGGATAAGTTCAGTACCAGAGGTGTGCAATGTGGATTTTAGCAGATTTCTTACATTTGTGACTGAAGTTGGGGAATATGTCAGAACTTTAAATGTAGTCTGAGGTACTGGTAATATAGTTCTAAGTAGAGACTGGAGAAGTAGAGTATCTTTGGGTATGTTTATCCAAAGCACCAGATGATTAAACCAGTTCTTCTATCCTTCAGTGAGAAGAGGCAACCAAATTCAAAAGCATGCCTGTAAGAGGTAACTGCCTGGTTGCCATTACCGCTCCCGCAACTCCCTGTAGGCATCTGCATACATCTGACTTCATGCATTCCGTGTTCTGTGGTGCAGAACTTTCTAGACTCTTACCTGCAACTTGTACAACTGACCAGAGACCTTTTATTGAGAAAAATGTAATCTTTGCTCAGAGGCAACCATGAAAGACGTGCGATCCTTTCAAGACAAATAAAAACCATTTTCCTTAATTTCTACAACAGAATATTGTCTTTGTTGCTCAAACAGATGTTTATTGCTCTTCAACCAATGCAGTGATTACTTCAAACAGCAGGGTAAGATCTCCCATCTAGTTACCTCCATTAACATTTTGCAAGGGAAGCCAGTAAAAAAAAATTCTAGCATTGGTGGTTTTAGTCAATCCATAAGAATGTTCAACATATCTTTTCCTTTGTTTTGAGGGTTAATAATTATAATATATATTTTATATATGTGAAATAACTCTCCCTCTTGGTTATAGCTCCATATATCTAAAGGAAAAAATGGCTACATAAATCTATCAGCTCACTGAGAGTTCCTGAATCAATATTTTATATTATACTTCATGTTTGTGATTTCATAGCTAGAAAAAAATTAATGAATAACATTTTCCTAAGAATACATACTAGTAGTTTGGTAATATTAAGGGATTAAATATGTAACTCAAAAGTACTAAAATTGTACTTTCCTTACCTTTCATAGCAAAGCAATTTTGTTGCCTTCTGTTTTCCGTTAAAACATACACATAGTGGTTCATTTATTTGACTTGTTACACTTAAAAGCTGAAACTGGCTGTCCTACCAGCTTTCCCTTGCTGAATTAATAATGGCAAAATAAACTTGAGTTTTCACTATAAACAATCCCTTTTAGATGGGATTGTTAGCCAGTTTTTTTGGGTGTGTGATACATGGTCTCATTATGTAGTCCAGATTGGCCTTGAACTAACTACATAACCCAGGCTCGTCTTAAACTCATGTTGTCCAGCCTCAGCTTCCACAGTGTTGGGATTATAAGCATGTGCCACCACACCCAGCAACAGCTAATGTAGTAACTACTTCAAACATCTTATTATTGACATCTTGCATAGTGCAGGGGATTTATTACAATTGATAAACCACTACTGACACATCAACTACAGCCCATAGTGATGTGCAGTTCTGTGGATTTTGACAAATGTATGTATGATTACAATATCATACAGAACGGACTTACTGCACAGTAAGTCTCCTAGGGTTCTTATATTCATCTTTTCCTCCCCTGGCCCCTGGCAACCACTAATCTTTTCACCATCTCCATAGTTTTCCCAGTGTGTCAGATAGTTGTAGTCATACCACAAGCAGCCTTTTCAAAATGCCTTCTTTCACTTACCAGAGGGCATGTATATATGGTTCCTCCATGTTTCCCCATGGCCTAGCTAATTTTTCTTACTGAATAATATCCATTGCATGCATGTAGCACAAATGCTTATCCACTCTCCTACTGTAGGACACTGTGGTTGCTTCCAGGTTTTGGCAGTTACACACAAAATGTCTATAAGTGTTCATATGCAGGCTTTGTGTGGTCTTAAATCACATGAATTTAAATTGTAAGGAAAGAATCTGCTTCATTTTGTAAGATACTGCCAAACTCTTCTATAGTTGCTGTAACATTATGCCTTCCCATAAGCAATCAGTGAGAGTCTGGTTGCTCCACAGCCTCACTCTCTGTATTCTTAGTGTTTTGGATTTTAGCTATTTTAACAGGTGTGTAATGGTGTTTTGATTTACAGTGCCATAATAACATCTGATGTTGGATGTCTTTTTACATGCTTGTTTCTGAACAGTATCTTGCTTGGTGAGGTATTCGTTCAGAGCTCTTGCCCATTTTCAATTCATTTTCTAAAATTTTTTTTTTTGGTCTTTTCTTGACACAGGGTCTCGCTATGTAGTGCAGGGTGGCCTTGAGCTCACTTTGTAGCCCAGGCTGGTCTCAACCTTGCGATGATCCTCCTCCCTCAGTCTCCCGAGTGCTGGGATTACAGGCATGTGTCACCATGCCCGGCTTGTTTTCTAGAGTATTTGAGCTGGGGTATATTTTCAATGCAACCATTTATCACATGTGTTCTATGGAGATTTTCTCCCCATCTATGGCTGTATATTTATGAAAGGTGTTAAGATTTATGTCTAGATTATTTTTGCATGAGTATGTCTGGGGATTATTGAAAATCCCTTCTCCATCAAACCGAATTTTCTTCTTTGTTGAAGATTAATTGAAGCCAGATGTGGTGGTGCAAATTTATAATCTCAGCACTTTGGAAGGCAGAGGCATGAGGGTCACAAGTTTGAATCCAATCTGGGCAATTTAGCAACTCAGTGAGACTCTGTCTTCAAAAGGTAAAAACTGGGTTGGGATGTAGCTCAGTGCAGAGGCCCTGAATTCAATCCCCAGTACCAGCAAAACAAAAATGTTAGGTGATTTGGGTGAGTCTATTTCAGGGGTCTCTATTTTGTTCCGCCCATCTGTTTCCATACTGTCTTATTTATCATTGTGTTGTAGTAAGTCTTGAAGTTGGTAGCATCAATCCCCAAGTCCACTGGCTATTTTAGGATTTTTACCTCTCCCTATAAACTTTTTTTTTTTTAAGAGTTGCTTTTTTGACATCTATAAATAACTTGTTGCTATTTATTTTTATTGGGGATTACACTGAACCTAGAGATCAACTTGGAAGACCTGAAATCTTGAGACTGTTGAATCATCCTCCCATGACCATGAACTCTGTCTCCATTTATTAGATGTTTTTTATTTCACCATCAGAGTTTTGTGTTTTCCTCATATAGATCATGTACATATTTCACTGGATTTATACCTAAGTCTTTATTTTTGGTGCTAATATAAGTAGTAGTGTTTTAAAATTTCAAGTGATAATTGTCCACTGGTGGTATATTAATATTTGTAATTTGTATCTTCTGTTTTAGTTAATCTGATGTTTATCGGTTTTATTGATCATTTCAAAAAGCTAGGCATTCATTTTGGTGATTTTCTTCTACTGATTTTAATTTCATTGCCTTCTACTCTAATTTTTCTCTCTTTTTTTGAGACTGGGTCTCTCTGCATAGTTTACCCTGGCCTTGAACTTGTGGTGATGCTGCTGCTTCAGCCTTCTAGAGTGCTGTGATTACAGGCATGTACTCCCAGGCCCAGCTTTTATTTCTTTTCTTCTGAGTATTTTGCATGCAATTTGGTATCTTTTTTCTAGTTTCCTACATGGGAACTTATTTTACTAACTTTAGATCTTTCTACTTTCCTATACATTATTCACATTCAGTGCTATGAATTTCCTCCTAAGTACTGCTTTCTCTTTAGTGCTTTTCCTGACCCCTTGATAATTTTAATTGATCATTTTATGATTCAATTTTCTCTCATTATTAATTACACTGTTCTAATAATTTCCTCTGAAGAGCTTCTTTTAACATTTCTTGCAAGGCAGGTAGATCTAATATCAACAAATTCCCTCAACTTTTGTTTCCTTGAGAATACCTATTTGTTTTTCACTTTTGAAGGTTGTCTATGGATATAGACTTGGAGGCTGGTGGTTTCTCTCTATAAACATTTTAATTACTCCACATTGTAGTACTCTCCTATTGCTTCCCAAGTCTCTTCTATCCCACCTCTGGCTTCTTTCAATATTTTTTCACTGTCTTTGATTTCCTGTGATTTTTTGCTTAGTCATTAATTTCTGAAAAATTTCAGCCATTATTAAATATTTCCTCTCTTGTCTTCTCTTCCTTCTCCTTCTGGTATTCTAATTACAAATACGATACACTTTTTGAAGGCATCCCACATTTTTTGTATACTGTTTTGTCACTTTTGTTCTTCTTTCTCTTTGCTATTTCAGTTTTGGATGTTTCTATTGACATTTCTCTAAGCTCAAAGAGTTCTTTCCTTCGTTAGTTTCCAGTGTATTTAATGAGCATTTTTCACATCTATTAACAATATTCTAGGATTTATATATTTTTCTACCCTCTCTCCCTCTTACCCACCACCCCCGCCCCCACCCTCTATTTTATTTTTGGTTATTTCTTATAGTTTACATCTCTGCTCACATTACCTAGCTGCTCTTACATACTATCCCTTTTTTCCATTAGAAACCTTAGGGACTTAACCATAATTGTTTCAAATTCCCAGGCTCATATCTTTAGTTGTATCTGGTTCTCATGCTTGCTCTATCACTTCAGATAGAATTCTTTGGCCTTTGTTTTGCCATATAACTTTTTTTGTTAAAAGCTGGACATGATATACAGTAGTAAGTAAAAGGAACTGAGTGAAATAGGGTCAGGCTTTGTGCTTACCTAGTTAGGAGTTAAGCTGTTTACTGTTTATCTGTTGATGTCAGAGGCAAAATTTCAAAATTGATCCTTATCTATCCTATAACCTTTGGGTTTCCACAGAGACTGCTTAAATAAGGTCCCAGACAATGACTGCAATGTTTTCATCTGTAAGCCCTCATATTCTGCAGGGGCCCTATGTATGCAGTAGTGCTAAGGTATCAGGGGAGGCAAAGCATCCTGTTGTCCTGTGATAGTCTTGAGCCTGCACCTTGAGGCTGTGACCTTGCTAAGCCCCACCCTCTTTAGGTGAACAGAAGAAGCCAAGATGAGGCTGGCATGGGGGTTTCCCTCCTCCCAAGTCAACTGGGTTCTGGTGAAGTAGATTTTCTTGAGGGTAGGCCTTGTTAAGAAGAACAGATTGTTCTGGTGTATATTTCAGAATGGCTATTTTCCCCTCCCCAGCCAGAAGTATGTAGAAGGGCATCTTTTTCAGTCTTAAATGTGAAAGTCAGAAGGCTTCCTAGAGGCAAAACTCATAGAAGTGTGGAAGTTTTCTTAAGATTGGATCCCAGAGTTGGTAACTCTCAAGTCTGAACACACTTAGCTTCCAGCAATTCATCACATCACTTAATTTCTCTCCCTTGTGGCTGGCCTCCAGTGGCTGGCTCCTGAGCAACACATTACAGTATTTATTGTAGTCCCTATTCTGCACAATAGATCTATAAAGCTCACTCCTCCTAGCTGAAACTGTGTACCCTTTGATCAACATTTCCCTTTTCCCTACGTATCCCCTTTAAGTGAGATCATGTACAGTACATTGTCTTTCTATGCCTGGCTTATTACACTTAACACAGTGTCCTCCATGTTCATCCATATTATTGCAAATAAAATAATTCTCCCTGCCTGCCTGTGTGTGTATGTGTGTGTGTGTGTGTTGACCTTCACAACGAGATACATCCCTATCCTTTTATTTTTTATTTTGAGACAGAATCTCACTAAGTTGCTCTGTTGCCCAGACTGGGCTCTTGCAGTCCTGCTGCAGTCTCCAGAGTGCTAGGATTTCAGGCATGTACCACCATACCCAGCTCCCCTGCTTTTCCAAGGCTGAATAGTATTTCACTATACATATACTTTTTTTAATCCACTCATCAATAATGGTGGTCACCTGGTTGCTTCTATAGCTTAGCTACTGTGAATAATGCTGTAATGAGCATGGGATACAGATATCTCTTCAGTAGACTTAATTTAAGCCAACCATATGGACTTGCTTTCATTTGTAATCCTTCTAATTATCATGCAAATCATCTGGTCACAGGCTTAATACGCCCATTCTTGTTATTTCCAACTTTGGATCTGCTGGGTATTTTTACTTGAACAAAATAAAAGGATACCTCCAATACATTAAATGTGATTCCATTTGGTTTGTTTCTTTACTTAGGATACCATACTAAAGAAATCTATTTTCTCTAAGATAAAATAATAAAACAAAATTTATATTAGAAACTATGAACAAAAATGAAAAGAAACATAATCCCAGCTACTTAGGAGGCTGAGGCAGGAGAACTGCAAATTTAAGGCCAGCCTGGATGACTTAGTGAGACCTTATCTCAAAATTTAAAAAGAAAGAGAGAAAGAGATGGGGGGACACTGGGTACCTCAGTGGTAACACTTACCTAGCATGGGTTCAAACCCTAATACCTCAAAACAATTCAAAGAAAATGTTTGTTATTTTAGAAATTAACAAATGTTCTCCTTGGGGTATGTGAGGAAATAATGAATCTAACATGTATCTAAATTACTGTAGAATTTGTACAGTGTATTCTCTTGGCATAATGATGACTATTCAGGCATGAAGATAACTAATTTGTACAGTATGTTCACTGGCATGAATTAACTATTTTGATTTCTATTTAAAGACATATGTGTATAATCAAGTCTGTCTAGGAGAGATATGATAGGAGATCTTTTAACTTTTAAATGTCTTACAACCTAGATATTGTTTACTTTTGTAGCTTGTCTGGTACTAGGTAATCTTACAAATTTGCCCCTAAAAAATATGGTAAATCCCTTTCTATCCACCTTCTTGGCAAGAACAACTTCTAATTCCAACATGTATTGGTCCCTGTTAAAGATATTTGCTCACATTTACCAAATTAATAAAACATATCTTACTACCATGCTTATATTAAGCTAAAAGAGCTTAATATAGAAGATACATACTATAAAATTAGTCGATCATATATGAACAGTGTAAAAGATTGATAGGCAAAATTTTATTTTCTGGTAACTACTTTTTGTCATTGTTAAGATATAACCTGAGCTAAGAAGAAAACAGATGTTCTTTTTAGAAATTAATAAACTATTTACTATACAAGCCCATATACTTGCAGTAAGTACCATGAAAAAATTGAAGATAACACTGAATGGTTATAAGGAATTTAGTGAGCTTAGTGTCATGTATGCCAGTAATTTTTTTCACATGTCCTGATATTAACTGAAAGCTCACAGCGCTCAGATGAAAAGAGCTATATAACTTTGGTACAATTATTGTGGCTGCAAAAAACCTACAGCATACACACAAACACACAACTCCAAAAAATCCATTTTAAATGGATGAAGGAAAACAATACAGTAATATAATTTACTTTAAAAATATTTCAAAGACTTTTTTTCTGATTAAATCTGTGACCACTTCATCTTTCTCCTTCACAAAAGGTTCTTATAATCAATCAGGAGAGCTGACTGTGGAAGCACATGCCTGTAATCCCAGCACTCTGGAGGCTGAGGAAGGAGGATCACAAGTTTGAGGCCAGCCTGGCTATATAGTGAGTTCAATGCCAGCCTGAACTGCATAGTGAGACCCTGTCTCAAAACACAAAAAAGAACTAGAACAAAAACAAAAACTGATCAAAAATAAAAATTCCATCTAATTCCATAAGCTCTGTCATGATGTCCCATGCTGGTGAGCTGCATGAACAGTGCAGCTGCTTGCACAAACAACAAAAAAACCAGAGAATTCATTATCCGCAGGGTGGCAATCAAGCATTCTATTTTGTGAGTTCATGGAAATCCACGAAGTTTTCTTTTTTATAGATGTACTTTCTTTCTCCTAAAACAAGGATAATGAGGCAAAATATTTGAGGGAAAACAAATAAGACAAAAGTACAGGTCTTGGAGGAAAAAAACCTGACATTTACCAAGAGTTTGGGGAGATGACACGCCGACAGTTATATGATGCAGTCCATGACATGGATTTGTAAGGTGTCTATGTCAGGCAGGACCTCCCCACACTTGGGGCAAGCATGGATCGGAATACTCTGGGGTTGCTGTTCCTGCCAGTTCCTGTGGTCAGTTCCTGGGAATAAGCAGAAAATGAAATTTCCATTAGCTCTATCTCACAAGCACTCTTACTTGATTTTAAAAACAGCTGGTTAATTTGAAATCTGTTAAACTCTGTAATCAGTACCTAGCAGAATATGAGTGCACGCTTTAGTCCTCAATGGAAGCTATCACCATGTGCACAGAGAAACAGAAGTCTCTAGACCCAACACTTGCTTCCCTGCTCTTTCAGGATTTAAACCATATTCCAAGTTCCAGGTCTGTGAAAATATATGGTTTCAGTTCTAGGTATAGGGCAATGTGTGTTCTAATAAAAACTAACGTGTGCATGACAGAGAGGGAGAAAGAGATGAATGAGAGAGCGTGTGTGGAGGGAGAAATCACGCCGGCATGGGAGAGGCCCCCTGGAGCAGCATGGATCTTCTCAGAAGCAGTCATCTCATTTATTCAGCAGAAACTTGCATGACCTCCAGAATGTGCAGGAGACCACTGTGTGCTGGGCTACTGCTGAGATGGGGCAGCCACGTGAGAGAAGCGGCAGTGGAGTGTTAGGTATGCGGGCATGGGGGGATGTTCTGTGGGACTGAGAGAAGGGTTCTGACTCAGCTCGGTGCAAAAAAACTTCTTGGATGAGATGGTTCCCCTTGAAAGGAGCCATACGTCATCCAAACACCATCATCGAGGAGCAACTGAAGAACAAGCCGTATCATTTCCCCCAATTCTGGAGTTATGCAGAGGCTGAAGCTTAAGTCAGTACTGCAAACAGATCCCAACTCTGGTAGGACCTAGATCCCTATAAACTGCAACCAATTCTGAGAAGTACCTCGGCTCCCTGGGTATCTCTCTGAGCTCACCTTTGTGGAGCAGTACAAACCATTTTGGTGCTTTTAGAATCTCATTATGGGGCTTGGTTCATCATTGAAAAGGTCATTTTTGGAGGATAATGATGATAACCTTTAATATGGTTATCGGCTTCGAAGTTCATTATTTGCATTAAATATGCAAGACTATTAGGATAGTTTGTGTTTGGCAAACGTAAGAAGCTGGCTCTTTCTTTCTTATTAATTGATTATAATTTATTGGTGGTTCTGGAACCTAGGGCCTCATAGGCAAGTACTCTACCACAGAGTTACCTCCCAGCCCGAAACACATTTTCTCAATACATGTATTCACCATAAAAAGCACGGTTTCTGAAGTAGGGAGTGTTCTAATTGTCTCATTGCTTGATATCAGGGGTCAGCAAACTTTTCCTGTAAAGGTCTTGAGAATAAATGTTAGGTAGGCTTTGCAGGTCATAAAACTGCTGTAGTGGTGCTCACCTATAATCCCAGCATTCTGGGAGGCTGAGGCATGAAGATCACAAATTCAAGCCTAGCCTGAGCAACTGGTAATTTATGCGACCCTGAATCAGAAATTGTAAAAAAGGACTGGGGATGTAGTTCAGTGCGTGACTGTATCCCAGTTGAGTCTTTTTTATAAAAACAGATGTCAGATCAGGCGTGGCCTGTGGGCTGCAGTTTGCCAAAACCTACAATGGATGACAAGCAGAACCCCAGCACTGCTACTGATTCTTGATTGGGAACGCTGGTGCCTCGACTGGCACTTTTCTTTTTGCTATGGTCCAGGTCTCCCGGCCCACACTGGCACTGTTATTCCAGCCCGCTCATGGTCCCCTCAGCCTTCTTCCTCTTTGCCTATAAGGAGCTTAGTCATTTTCCTTTATCAACCCATCATACTCATTTCTACCTTTGCCCCTTTACTCTCACCTTTTCTAAATCCTTGCCTGGAGGTTGAGCTCAGAGTTACACCTTCTCCCGACCTGTCTCAATAACCTGTGCCTTGGGGCTGGGGATTTAGCTCAGTGGCAAAGCGCCTGCCTGGCAAGCGCAAGGTTGTGAGTTCGGTTCCTGGTACCGGGAAAAAAAAACAAAACAAAACAAAACCAATAACCTGTGCCTTAATAATCTGCCTTTCATCTTGTCCTCACCTCTATTCTTTTTTTTTTTTGGTTTTTCTCTGGTACCGGGAACTGAACTCACGACCTTGCGCTTGCCAGGCAGGCGCTTTTTGCTGCTGAGCTAAATCCCCAGCCCCTCACCTCTATTCTTTTATAACCACGCATTCACCGTTTCACGTGTGCACCCTGTTCCCACTACTCCGCACCCTTACAGGCCTAACCTTGGCTTACACCTCTCTGTTTCCAGTCCTGGCTGAGTGCCCTGGAAGACAGCAGACACTTAAATGACTGCTGATGACAGCAACATGAGATGTTTCAAGAGCAACTGCTGTTCACAGCAATTTTATTAAGAAACTAAAAAATAATAAGAAGAATTTTTTTCTGGTTTTTCGAGGCAGGGTCTCCCTGTGCAGTCCAGGCTGGCCTTGAACTTGCTTAAGTAGCCCAGGATGACCTCGACCTCACAGCAATCCTCTTGCCTCAGCCTCCCAAGTGCTGGTATTACAGGCCTGTGCCATTATGCCTGGCAAAAAAATCTTAGTCCTTTGTTTGAAATTTTATGAGCAAAAAAGCTTATTAGGATAATGAATGCTAAATTTATACTTGTAAAAAATTTTAAGATTATAAATGTATCTCCAAACTGATGTTTTTAAAATGTAAAGTAAGTAAGTAAGCATTTGCCTTACAGAGTTATAAAGAATAGTCTTTTCTTAAGACATCCAAGTATAAGAAATTGACCTTTTTGACCTGACCCCAGTGTTGTGGGGCACGTCTAGAAATCATACAGCTGTTCCTAGGATATTTAAAATCAGGTTAATGAGAATGCCCAGCAGCACTCACCTGGGTCAATAAAGCTGCCAGAGAAGAACAGAGTTTACCTGTAACAGAAAATAGCCCCCTCCACCAGTATACTTCAGTTTCTTAGTTGCCTAGGTAATAGTTCCTGTTTGAGTTCAGGTTGCTCCTGTCTCTTGGAAACAGCTGGTCACTATGATGCACATTATATAAACCAATCCCCAGTTGACAAGCCATTCTGCCTCTGTACTTCCTGTTGCTTATCCCATATAAGCCCTAGACCACCAGAGATCGGGGCCTGATATTCTGAGAATGATCCTGATCAGTGCCTGTCAATGTAAATAAACCTGCCTCCAAATCCTGGGTATCATTTTGGTGTTTCTGCTTGCCATTGCATACCGTGGTGATAAAAAGTGTCCAAGGCTAGTATTTATATCATGCTACTGTGCTACCTCTTTGTATATGTACCCTGAGTAATACTATGCTTAAAAAAGATACTGTTCATTTATTTTTGCAGTACTGGATGGAGAACCACTATTTTTATTTTTAAACTGCATTACTACCTCTCATATTTACTATGACTTTCTTTCCCCCCTGTATGAGAATTCTGGTCAGTGAGGAGGGAGATGGGTAGCAAAAAAGATACTCAGAACTCTCCTCAAGACTTAACAGTTCACTGTGTATATAAAGGTTGCTTCCATGTTTCCATTTTATTAGCCAGTCAGTATGTAAAAGGGACGCAGATTAGTCCAGCATTTAAAAGCACATTTTATAAAATTTGTGAAAATTTTCAATTTTGTGAAATTAAAGATGGTATCCTAAACCTAGACTTTTCTCAGTGGCATTGCCATTAACTTTTTCTGTAGCTACATTAGTCTTTGATCTTTAAATATTTTCATATCTGGAATCAAGGATAATACTTTCATTTTAGTAACTCATTATAAACTACAGAACATCACTTCTAGTACTAAAGCCAGGTTCTACTAAGTACAGCACCACACCTTTAAGAAGCGTAACGATCAGTCTCACTCAGGAAACAGAAATCTGGATTTATGACAGGATTAAATGATCACATATGTAGTGCTACGTAACAGCCTGAGTCAAGTGACTCAGTTCCATTTCTAATTCTTCCCCTAACTACCCTTGCAATCTTGGATATTTAACCTTGTAAAATTTTAGTTTTGTCTTTTGTAAGAATGTAATAATATATACCTCAGAATTTTTTGGAGAATAAAATTAAATAATATAAAAAAAGTGATATCAGCACAGTGTCACAGAGTAAACTCTTAATAAATGTTAACATCATGTGTGAAACACCATTAGTGGGTAGAAGATATACACTTCAAGAGAGCTTATTTAATAGAGTATTTAAATGAATATTTAAACATGTAAACTCATAAGATAGAGGAATAGAGTACTTTGTAAGTTCAGGATGGAGATAAAGTTTGAAAGGGGTTTTATGTTATTTTATTGTTTTGGGACAGGGTCTCACTATTAGTTCAGGCCAGCCTTGATCTCACCATGTAGCCCAGGCAGGTTTCCTGCCTGAGCCTCCTGAGTGCTGGGATCGTAGATGAGTGCTACCATGCCAGTCTGAAATGGGTTTAAAAGTGGAGTACATAGCCAGGCATATTGATATATGCCTGTAATCTCAGCACTCAGGAGGCTGAGGCAGGAAGATCACTGCAAGTTCCAGCCACTATGGACTGCAAGTTCCAGCCCAGCCTGGTATACATGGTGAGTTCAAGACAATCCTGAGCTAGACAGCAAGACTCTATCTCCAAAAATGAAAATGAAAAAAAAAAAAAGGTGGAGCACGAGTTCCCTGGAAAGAGACTACGAGACAGGAATGTGCGTCCAGGAAGGCATCCACGTGAAAGTACTGCATAACAAATACATGCAAGCGGGGCTTAAGGTGAGTTGACAGGGATGATTCGGTTGGCTCACACTGCAGACTACAGTGAGATCTGGTGGGTGAAGAGTATGGTCTGAACTCAGCGGGTAATGGACAGAGACTGGGGTACTGAGGAAAGACACTGAGTACTGGGGAAAGACTCTGAGGGGTGCTAGATTCTGGGTAGCTTGGCACGGAATCCAGTCTATAAAATGTACTGGGATTTTTCTTTGAGTGTCGTTTTGGTGGGACTGGACTCACCTCTTTGAACGAGGTAGGCCTGCTGGTCCAGGTCACTGGTTCTCGCCCCATGCCGGCTCTGCATTTCCATCAAGGACTGCCTGCTGGAAGAAAGTGACACTCTGCAGCCCCAAACCGCACAGCCTCCAGCAGACAGTCCACGAAAGAGGAGGAGAAAGGGCCGCACTACAGTGCCTAGGTTCAAAAATCCACAACTGGAAACTAACCTGACTTTTAAATACTGTTGACACTAGGATACCATGTAGTGAAAGTAAGTAAGAATTTTTAGAAATCTTCTAGGAATAACCAATCTATTAATTGATAGGATAATGGGTCAGAAAAAAGAAATGGTGTATTTCTACATCAACACTCTATATAGCAATTAAAGAATTAAATCTGCATGTATGAAAATTGAGTACAAAATCACAGTGATGTACAAATCAAGTTATAGAACAATACCTACATTTTTATAACACATCAGTATTTTCTGGTTTTAAGATATTATATAGTAACACACAAAATAAATGGACAGCTACCCGCCAACTTTTTGGTTATACAAGCTAAGGGACAACTGTCATTTTAGAATTTTCAAACGTCAGAAGTAATTTTAAAAGTATTTTCTTTTCTTTTAGGGCATATGAGAGAATTTGAGGTGCTAGGATCATTTCATTCACGACAAAGGCAAGGTAGGACACTGTGGCACACAATGCATGATTTTACAACTTAAAGCAAGGAATAGGTCTGTCCAGCTCTGTTGTAAGCAAATCCTGCAGGAACACGGCCAAACGACACATAGACAGAGCGACTGGCATGGCTCAGACAGGAGACCTGTTTGGCAGGTCACGGCTTCTGCAGTCCCCACCATCCCACGCTCTACATCTTCTTCATGTGTTGTGACCTTACCTGTCTTCATCTTCAAAAGCGTTGTTCTCTTTTAGCAAAACCGCCAGCTGCAATGCCAGGTGCTCCTTCTCTTCGTGAATCTTCTCTTTTGCTGCTCTTTCAGCATGAAAATCAGAACAGTAAATCTCCATCTGTTAGAGAAAAAAAGTACGGAATTCACTACCAAGATGAATGTGAATTCTCTGAGGCTCACTTGTTTATGGAGTCAGAAAATAGTCCTGCCCCTTAGACAGGCCTCGGGGATGACAGACACATCCATACTCCTGCTGAAGCCAGCACAAACCACAACTTTCCAACTCCAAACAATAGGTACGAGCTGCACGTGCAGCATGCACATGTGTGTGCCTCAGGCAGTTCAAACCCTGCATATCCACTAATAGAAGTCGTTTAAGTAATGTATGTACCATTATATCAATAAAATATTATTGTCTCTTTTTAAAAAAGTAATATTTAGGGTTAACAATATAGTAAATAGTTTATTTACTCTGCCAGGTATATTTAAGAATGCTGGTCTTATACTAAATTTAAAATAATAAAAAAATAAGATGAGTGTGGTGTTAATCCTAGCGCTTGGGAGGCTGTGGTTTCAGTTTTGCTCTCTTCTGGAACCACTTGTCATGGAGGAGGTCAGCCACCTTGTCATGAGGGCGTTGTAGCAGCCCTCTGGAGGGACTGAGGGGAGGAACAGAGAACCCCGACTGACGCAGACATCTTGGAACAAGACCCTCAGTCCATTCTGAATGCAGCCTCATGAGAGATCCAGAGTTGGAATCATCCTGCTCTTGGATTCCTGACTCACAGAAGCCACATGTGAGAAAAGAAGTATTTTTGTTTGTTTCAAGCTGCTAAATTTTGGGAATGATAGATAACTAATACATTATGACAACAACTGCTACATTGTTAGCAAACTGTAATGTAAAAACAGACCATTTAATGGAGTGAAATGAGCATTATTCTAATACCAGTTTTTAATATTTTAGGTTGTAAATTGGTTTCTCTTTTCAAATTTAATGGTCCTAGGATATAAACTGTCTTCCATTACTTTTTTTAATGTTTTTTTTTTGGTATCGGGAATCAAACTCAGGACCTTGCGCTTGCCAGGCAGGCACTTATGCCACTGAGCTATATCCCCAGCCCTCCATTACTTTTAAAAGTATTAATTAATAAAATCTAAAACTGTTACTATATTAAAGTATTCAATAAAAAGACCATTTTAGGGGATTTTTCTATCAATTGTGAATGATCCAGCATATTATTGTATCATTAATGGATCATGGTTTGTTTTTCTTTTTGGGGGGAGGGATTGCAGTGCTTGGGGTATCTCACACATGACAGACAAATGTTCCACTAAGCTACACAGTGCCCCTCCTTTTTAAAATTTTGAGACAAAGTCTCATTAAGTTGCAAAGACTGGCCTTCACCTTGCAATCCTCTTGCTCAGGCTCCCATGCCTCACGGGTTTTTGAGTCTGCCCTAAATTGTTACAGTGTCACTTCTATCACATACTAGTTTCAGATCACTAAAAATGGGGTGTCTGTTTTGTTCACTCCTATACCCCCAGCAGTGAGAATTGTGTCTGACATATGATGGGTGCTTGAAAAAGTTGATGAATGAGCATATCCATCAAAACAAAGTAAACGTCTACAGAATGTGGTGAAAACATATGGCTACCAGAGAACAGGAAAACTGAATGAGCTCCCCAAGCAAAGGAAATGCTGCAGAGAGCTCAGAAAATGCAAGTTGAGAGTCTATTCCTACAGAGAACTAAAGCTGTGCATGGTAGTGCATGCTTAGCATCCCAGAAGTTGGAAGGCTGAAGCAGGAGGATCATGAGTTCATGACCAGCCTGGGCTATCCTGGGCTACACAGAAAGAACCTGTTTCAAATAAAACAAACAAACAAATAAATAAAACTAAAGCCAGAAATACCAAAAAAGTACCCTTCACTTCACTGGGGTCGGCCACTGTGGACAGCTGGTAATAATGAGTGCGTATATAGAAATAATGATCTGCTGACGTCACATATTTAAAATACTCTGTTTACTTCATCAGATTTGCGAAGATTTAGAATAATGCAAAGATGTGAGGACACAGGAATTATTATCTACTTTTAGTGAGAATACAATTTTGGCCTCGTTTGGGGAGACCGCTTGATAATGTTTATTTAATTTAAGAACCACCATTCCTGATAACCTTATCATTCCATTTCCGTATCTTAATACAGATTCTACAAGTCCACAAAGAGATACCTACAGAAAAAATACTCATTTTAGCATTCCTAGAAATAATAAAGTATAGGTACAAATTAAATGCCCATTAAGAGAGGATTAGCGAAATCTGTCATGATAATACACAATACCAAACACTGTGCCACATTTAAAAATAAATAAAAACACATGAATAAAATAAAAATAACATGTGGCTGAGTAATAACATGGAGAGATAGTTAAGATATGAGTATAAAACCTATAGCATAAAAGGTACAATATCATTTTTAATGAAGCAAGCAAAGAACAGTAAAAAAAAAAATCTATTGTACATGTACCAAAGTGGAATTTGAGGAAGTTTGATTTTTACCCTCTATTTTATATATTTTTGCATTGTTTAAAATTTTTGTTCTACACTGGATGGCACTGTTTATATAATGTTGAATAAATGTAAAGGTTGTGAACATAGCTCAGTGGTAAAGCAAGTCCCCGCCGTGGACAAGGCACAGACTGCATCTCACCTGAGCCCTGAGGACGGCCATGGTGTCCAGCTCCTCCTCCTGCCGGGCAATGGTCTGCTTCATCGCATCCATCTGAAGCTGCTTGGAGGCCAGTGCCTGCTCCGCTAGCTCCAGCTTCTCATTTAGCTCCCAGAGCACTGCTGTATCTACCTTTTCTGACTGAAAGACAATTTCATTCTAGACATGGTTTTGAAACAAGGCAGCTTATTCTAGTAATATACATTTTTTTGAGACAGGGTCTCCCTATGTAGTGCAGGCTAGCCTTGAACTCACTACATTGCCCAGGCTGGCCTCAAACTTAGTGGTCCTCCTGCCTCAACCTCCTGAGTGCTAGGGTTGCCAGTGTGCACCACTACACCTGGCTTCTAACAAAATAGTGGATAAAGGCTCACGTGTTAAAAAATTACTAGCTCCAAACTAGTCTGTTAATTAGCAAGGCTAATGTACTCAGAAAGTTGCACTTATTTAATATATGGCTTGCAAATAATTTCCTGTCTTAAAACTGTTTTTTAAAAAAATAGCAATAAAATAGGGAAATTATAACAAACCCTACCATGATGAGGTTGTGACTCACTGATACTATTATTTTTCTACCCATGTTGCTCTTTGTGACATCATTGGAAAAGAAGCATGTTTAAGTTTGAAATATAACTGGTCCTAGAGGGGAAAACATTCTTTAAAAAGGAAAAATAAAGTATATCCATAAGGATATAAATTCAAGACCCTTTATAATCCAAAACTGTCATGGTCTATAGATTATCTCACCACCCGGGCATTATTACTGATTTAAATTGCATGTTGATGAGCCCAGGGTCTCAAGCTCACTGCACAGGTCCATGAGCAGATGGCCCGTCCAGCCCTAGCAGCTGTCACACAGTGCCCTGTTCACACATGAACCATGCCCTCAGTCCCCCTGCAAAGCTACCCTGAGAAATACTAAAGCTCACAGCCTGACTCTAGACGTTCACACCATCTGTGCACTCACAGCACATTACGAGTATGTTGGACATGAGAAGTTACATATGTTTCAACCCAAGAAATAATTATAAACTGAAAAGCAACTTTGAAACCAGATTTAGTTAAGCATTCATGCAATTTTTTTTATATAGAAAATGTTCATTGATTTCTGTTCACCAGAATTTGTTTCCTGTGAATACCTCTTTCCTTGTTAGTTCCTCAACTTTCTTCAATGTATTATTATGTTCTTGAAGAAGCTTGTTGTGTGTTGACTGCAGAATGGCTAATTTGGACCTAATAAAAAAGATATTAAAAAATGGAATCTTGGGAAAAATATCACAGAAGGTTTGAATCTTGTCTGCTCATCATCTTCTAAACATTTTAGTAGCAAAATATTCTTTCCTTTTATTATCCAACTGTTATAGGTTGTGTCTAAATGTTCCCCCAAAGCCTCACACACTCATAAGTGGGGCTTTTCAGAGGTGGCTGAATCTAGAGTGTGTGATGTTGAGATTAAGGGTGTGTGATAACTAAATCAGTCCACTGATTGGTTTGGCATTTCCTTAATCTTAGTAGTCTAAATAGAACATAAAAGAGGCAGAAGAAAGCTGCTAAGGGTGTTGGTTGGTTCCATCTTGCTTGTGTTGCTGCCCTCTGCCATGCCATGGACTATTTGTCCTCTGCAATGTCCCTCTCCCACACCACCCTGGCTTGGAGTCGACTACAGACTGAAACCTCTACAAACTGTGAGCCAAATAAACCTTTCCTGCTTAATCTTGGATACTGCATATTTTGTTTCAGCAGTGAGAAAAGTAACTAAGACACCCACCAATTACTAGCATTTTCTTACTTTCCAAGAAAATATTTTGTGCTCGCTTCGGCAGCACATATACTAAAATTAGAATGAAGAAAATATTTTCTCAAAAAATAAGATAGAATGCAAATCATTTTCACAATTTTCTTATGATAAAATAATAAATCTTATCTCTCCAAAGAGTTTCCTAGGGCTCTTTGAGATAAATAAAAATTTTATGAGTTTGTTCTCAATTCCTAATCCACTATGTATAAAAAAGCAGTTCAGCATACTCACTTTTCTTCTTCCACTTTAGCTTGCTCCATTTTGATTTCTGACCACATGCTTTCCACTTGGAGTTCTAATTTCTTATTATTATAAACCAGCTCTTGCTTTTCACTCAACTCTGATGGAGTTGCAGAATTTTTCCTTTCAAGGGCCTGGCACCTAAGCAAGTTAAAGATTTTATGAGGCTAAACAATGTTCTACTTCTCAGCGGCTTTTTAACAAATCCCAAGATTATGTAAACTACAAGCAAGTGTAGAGCTGTAGGATTTATGAATGAAAAATAAAATATTTTATTCTTTCTGCTTCTTTGATAGCCATATTTCTGAACCCTCATGCATGACATGAGGTGGTTTTATCTTTGAATAATTGTCTTCACTAGTCATATGCATATATTTTTGTTACTTAAACACAGGTCAAGGTAGTAATTGGCTAAAAGTGATTCTCATATATTGATCCATGAGTACCTTTTATATTTTTTAAAGTTTGACTGATCATCCAAAAAGACAGATTTCTGACAAGGATTCAACTGGGAAAAAAGGAAATTTCCCTACCCTCTTAGAGATCAGAAAGAAAATTTCAATATAATAACTGCAAAAATAAATGAATGATAGCTATGTACATGGCATTAATGCCAAGCATATTAAGTATTTAATTTAATGATACTGTGCCAGGTTACCATAATACTGTAGAGTGTTGGTAAGTGTAACCTCCAAGAAAACATACCTATGCACTAAGCTGGACATGTGTTTGCCAGCTAATCCAATAGAATGACATTAAGTTTCAGATAATTTCTTACATCAAAAGAAACAAATCCAAAATTCTTAATTTACATGTTAGCTTTAGTAACTGATTAAAATACTTGATTCCAATTGATTTTTTTCCAAAACTTCACTCAACTTCTTTATGCTCTATTGCTTTTCTTGTTCATATGGTTGTTGTCAGTGTAAGCCAGACAGGAAATCTGGCCGCAGCTGTGGCCAGGGGTCTCATAGGCTGGTATACTAACAGTGGAATTAAAGCCCCTTGGTCCCCATTCCCCAACATTTTAACATGTACTTCATTCTTTTGTTGTTTTCAGTAATAGGGAACCCAGAGCCTCCACACTGATCTATATCCTCAGCCCTTTTTTAAATTTTGAAACAAGATCACACTAAATTCCCCAGGTAGGACATGAACTTAGGATTCTCTTGCCTCAGCCTCCCCAGAGTGCTGGGATTACAAGCATGTTCCACTACACCAGGCTAAGAATTTTATTCTTATAGATTAACCCATACATTAGTGTTTTTTAAAAATTTCTAGCCTAGGTCTCTTTTTCTTTTCATCAGTAACAAAGCCATATACCTTGTAAAAATCTGTTTTTCTTAAAGGTGGATAAAACTGATTTTTCTTACTTTTCTTGAAGTCTCTTCTTCATTAGCTCAGCTTCACTGAGTTTTGTGTGAGCCTCTTGAAGCTCCTTAAACAGGGACGTCACCTGAAGGTTCAGTGTTTCCACCTCACTTCCAATCTGTGATACAGGAGATGCCAAACACTACATGTGATTGTCATCAGGGATTAAATGAACCGATATGAGAAAAGTCTGAACCACTCCTCTCCAATCAAGACTAACCAGTGAACAGATTCACTTTGGCTAATTACTACTCCAGATATAATTTTGGATATAACTCTGTTTCTTAATAAAGCATTAACTAATCGGGTTGCCTGCACTTGTAAGTAATGATTTTATCACTACTGAAAGTAACCCTACTCTCATGGTTCAGGGATTACAGATCACAGAGGTGCCAACTTCACTCATTTAGGTTTCTAGTTTACGTAACTATTTCTGTTGTATAGCCTTTCTCCTGAGAGCTCTGTAATTCCTGTAAATGAGACTTATGTCTTAGAAATCTCAATGCTCCTGTTAGTGGTGGTTGAGTGAGTTTTAGTCTACAAGCTACTACTATGCACTGCGGATCTTTTCATCTCAGTTTTCTAAATGTTCTGCATTCTCATGTAGTTCCCTACTTGAAAGAGTAGGCATTCAATATACATAGCTGGCATTCAATACCTATGGTTGAATAAATGTATTAGCTAATGTGGTTTTTTATATAAATGCCTTTCACTTGGGCTACTATAGCTATTTTAACTTCATGTTTTCATTAACTATCCCTAAGCTTATGACTCTGCAGGCCCAAAGGATCACTCTAAGTTACCAAACACCATTGAATAGATACATGAACCACTGTCATTGCCACTGCTTTGTTCCTACTGTCTCTCAGTCACATCATCAAATGAACTCATTATAAAGTAGACAAAGTTCCTTTTTCACTTAGTGGGCTTGTTCACTTGAAGATTTAGGAAAGTAAATAGGTCACAAAATATAGGACCTGTTTCATAGAATATCATACAATTCCATCTCACTACAGTTGACAGTGAATAAAACGCAAACAGGACAGGAAACACAAGATGATGTGATCCCGCTGTGGTACTACTCTGATGCACCCTGGGTGTGTCCAGCAGTCTTGGAATTTCGGTACCCACAGTCTCTGTGTCTTTCTCCTCTTCATTCTCTTTTTCTGTGTTCTTCTCTGTCTGGGTCTCAGTCTCGGCGCGATCATGTGCTTTCTTTTCAAACTCTGAAATTCTGGAAAAAAATACAAAAGTGTAAAAAAGTTACTTTCTCTTTGTCCTTATGAAGAGTACCAATTGCAGAAACACTCACAGGAATACCTTCAAAATTTAGATAAACTGTTGAGTTTTCAGAACCTCTTTACATTCTCTACATTAGCACTGGTTTTGTTTCTCATTCTAAGACTGGCTAGAATTGATGTGATTTACACAGAAGTAAAAGACAGGAATAACTTGTCTTGACCACAATTTCTTTCATGTGAATGTACTATCAGGAAGTATTTTTAAAACTTGGATTACATGTGTGTGCACATGTGGATATATGCATTTGTTCCATGCATGCCTGTGTGTCCTATTTATAAGAATTTAACCCAGACATGGTGGCACATGTCTGTAATCCCAGCTATTTGAGGCTGAGACAGGAAAGATCACAAGTTCAAGGCTAGCCTGGGTAACTTAGTGAGATCCTGTCTCAAAACAAAATAAGAAGGAGGAGGAGAGGGAGAAGAAGAGGAAGGAGAAGAAGAGGAAGGGGGTAAGGAAGAAGAAGAAAAAGGAGAAGAAGAAGAATTTAGCAGGAAAGGAAAGACTTTTCCTTTTAGGACCTCTTCAAATTTATAAGTCCCCAAACAAACAATGTATCACCATTCCTACACTGAATCATAATCGTAGGACAAGTGAAACGAATAGAGATTGTGGTTGAGTATGTGCAATTACTCCGCCCCCCGCCCCCACTCCAAAACCTATAAAAACAACTCTATAAAAGGCCTGTGCCTACTGGAACAAAGAGAAAAGGACAGAAAATCATAGCAAGAAATGTGGAAAACCCCAAGAACAAGTGGGAACAGGGTCAGCTGGACAACACTAGGAAATACCAAAAAGTAAACAGCTACAGTGGAAACTCCAAAAGGCCCACTAGCTGGGGACATCTGGACTAGTGGGCATGGTGATGAGGACAAGGCCTGCTGGAGGAGGACTTGGAAGACTGTAAGATGAAGGAGTTCTGGACTCACTGCTAAGCTGAGCTCAGGGACTGAGTTTCCGAATGAAGAGAAAGTGGAATTTACGCGTTGACAAGTGAGGGCCTCCACCTATTTCTACTCATCTCAAGAAAAATGTTCTTTGGGTAGGAGGCTGAAAGAGTCTTCTCTGGAGAATTCGACCAGGACAAATGAAAAGATTTCAAGTCTGAGGCATGGACTTCCCCAAGGAAGCCTCCCAGCTGGATATCCCTACAGGCGCTCACAAGCTTCTCTCTCCTCCCTCTTACAGCTGATCAAACAGACAAGATTACAGACATCTGAGAAAACCCTTAAAATTAATGGATATTTTTCTACCAAAAATAGAGTAAGATGGTATGGGGGGGGCTATCACTAATATCCCTAGAGACATAAGGAAACATACTGCAACTATTTCAAAAGGAACATTAAAAGCACCAGAGACAAGAAAAAGAAAAGAAAGGAAGTTATTTGCCAAATCTAGCAGAATTGAAAGAAAGAAAGGGTTGAGGGTGTAGCTCAGAGGCAGAGCGTGTGGCTAGCTTGCATGAGGCCCTAGGTTTGATCCCCTGCTGCAAAAACAAACAAACAAAAAAGTTCTAAAAAAGCAAAGAAAAAAGAGATGGCAAAGAAAAATAAAATTTAGGAAAATTAGATGGCTGGCCTGGGGGATCTAATTCAAAATAAGGAAAATATAGTAGGTTCTAGAAAGATAACTAAAGGTCAGAGAAGAGTCGGTATAGGAAATAATCCCTACATTATTTTGAGATTTTTCAAGAACTGAAGGGCGTGTCTTTGCAGAATGAAAGGCTCAAATGAGTCTAGAACAAATGGATGAAAGGCTCACAGCAAAGCACACTGTGCCTTATCACAATGGCAGAAACAAAGATCTTTCAGATTGGAGGAAAACAAAAGGCATTTCACATAAAGACATTAACAATCAGAATGGCAAGGATTTCTCAACAATAAGACCAGAAGCTGAAATACAATGAAGCCATGCTTTCAAATTTTGAAGGGAAAATAATATCCATTCTAGAATTTTACATAGCCAAACCAAACTATACGTTAAGTACAAAGGTAGAGAGATTTTCAGACAGGCAGAACTCAGAAAACATATTCCTCAGATATCCTTTTCAGTTAGTTAGGAGAGATACAGTATACTCTATTAAAAAAAAAAAAAAAAAGAAAGAAAGCAAAAGTAAGAAAGGTGTCGGACTAGGGAAGGTGGTGATCCAACACTGGCGAGCTAAAGGAATTCCACAAGATGATGAGGAAGGGAGATTCCAAGATGACTGCAATACAGCAGGATCCAGAAAGTAAGCAGGCCAGGAGTCAAGAAGAGAATACTGCTGCACTCCAAATGTGTTTGAATGGAACTGATTTCCTCACTGGAAGAAAGTGTATGAGGAAACTGAGTTCTGGGACTTGAACAACCCCTCTGAAATTCATGTTGAAATTTAAATTGCCATTGCCATTGTGCCAACACTGCCTTCCTGAATGGATTACTGGGAGTGGGTTCTTAATGAAAGGATGAGTTCAGCTCAGTTTTTCAGTTGCACGTTTTTGATTGTCCTTCTGCTCTGTTATAATGCAGCCCCAACTTGAACTCCCAGCATTCATACCTGTGAGCCACATAAACTAACAGTTTAGAACTGATCCAGTATGCAGGATTCTGTTATAGAGGCAGAAAACTGACTAAGATAGGCAAAATTTTAAAAAGGTAATTCTGCACAGAAGTTAAAAAAATGTGTAAAAAAGAAAAAGTGGTCACGGTATATTACCTGACTGCAAACTGTGTGTGTTGTATGTTTAAGCATAGTAATGCAAACACTGTGTAGTCATCTAATTAATATAATCAATCTAATTAATATAATCTAATTATATTAATTAGTCATCTAATTAATATAATCAATCTTCGATATAATCAATCTCAGACAGGGTGGGGAGTGGAGGAGGGGCCCAGAAGCCTATGTGCGTTGTGTTAATGATAGCGTAAGTCAATTAAATCATCATCCATAGTGGAGACCAACAGATCGTATTTAAAATCTTTTTAAAAATTTAAGTAACAGTTTAAGCTTGATATACGAAGATAAAGATCAACACTTGATCTTAGCCAAAAGGCCGAGAAGTGATAAAGATAAAGATTAAAAGAACCAACTAAATATGTTGAAAGTGGCCATATAGGAAGCAGGAAAAAGTGTGTGTGAGGGGGTGATAGGTCAAAAAACTGTTGTTTCTCCAAGAGAGGTTTGTAGAAAAAACAATTCTTTTTTTGTCAGGGGTGGGTACTGGAAACTGAACCCGGGCCTTCACACTACATCTATAGCCCTTTTTGGTTTTTTTTTTTAAATTTTGAGACAGGGTCCCACTAAGTTGCTCATGCTGGGCTCAAACTTGTGATCCTCCTGCCTTAGCTTCCAAGAGTGCTGGAATTAGAGGCATGTGCCATCATGCCCAACCACAACCAATTAGTTATATGAATATAAATTTATCTTTAAATAAAACTTACTGGTGATAAAAATTATGATTAGCAATACTGGTATCTGTTACAAACTGTCAAACCTAATTGGTGTGTAAGTACTGTCTCTGTCTAAGCTGAATAAATGGGTTGAGCACCAGCTGGTGGGGGTAGGAAGGTGGGCCTTTGTAATGCTACTCACGAATGATACAAGGTTTTGATCTATATTTGAATAACAACTTAATTTTCTAGGGCAAATTCTCACCTTGAGCTGACTTTTTCCTGCTATCTCCTGATTTTCCAAACTACATTTCCTATACAATTTTCTCTCCTTTCCAGCTTTTGGTGTATGTTTAGAAAACACAAATTACACAAAATATTAGTCCTGGCAAAACAGAGACAGAAAAACAAATCTACAGTTCTCTATCCCCATACATCACCTAAAAGCTTTTCAGAATAAATTTTAGAACATTTATACACATATTTCCTTAATTAATAAAAATGGCTTAAGATTGACTTAGTTATTTCAGAAAAAGATATGTTAGGTCTTGCAGTGTGTTTTATTATATCTGATTAAAGAATGTATAAATCAAGAGAGGTTGTTTGCTTATTAGTAATTTTGTTTCTTGGTTTTAGTGCTACTCTTTCTGGGAGGAAATCACCATCATGAAACCCACCTAGAGAACATTAGTCTCAGCAACTAATTACCAACTTGTCAGTGGGTAAATATTGACTGAACTCTGGCTCATATAATGGAAGTTTAATACCACTGAGAAAGGATATTTCCAAGATGCTCAAGATAGGGACATCAGACTTCTGTCTCAAAGACAGGCCTGATATATTAGCTACAGTCTGAAGAGCTACCTACCCCTTAGCCTCCAAGTAAAAAGTTATGAATTTTTTGAAAGCACGAATTATATATTTTGTATGAAAGGTCATGATGTGTAACGGGCAAATTCCTAAGTTTGCACTTCTATTCATAAAACCAGTCACAGTAAAGTAAGGATGAATTACTGGTTAAACCTGAAATGGTAACAAAACTTGATATATACATGACTACAAAATACAAATACACTGATCACTCATGACTATTAAAGGTCTCATCATAACATAACATTTTCCTTTAAAATCAGCTATAATAGTTATGGTGTAAAAAGAATACTTTCTCTCTCTCTCTCTCTCTCTCTCTCTCTCTCTCTCTCTCTCTCTCTCTACATTGTTACTCTGCTTTGGAATTCACCAAAAAGCTAGGATGAATATATTACCCTATTAGAGCACATAGTGGTACCTCCTACAAGTCACCTCTAACTTCTGTAAGTAGGAGACAGGATAAAAAACAAAAATTTACAACCATTATGCCTTTTCACCTTTGAAAAGACTTGATCACCAAGTTAAGTTATTGGGCAAATGCTGACATGCTTTCCACATTTTCTCAATCTGAACAGTGGCTTATGCTTAATGTTTTAAGAACACATCTTCCAATAGTTAAAGTTTTAAACTGCTGCAATAGTAAAATACTTTTTTTTTTGTTGAGACAGGGTCTCACTCATGTAGTTCAGGCTGGTCTTGAACTTACTATATAGCCCAGGGTGGTCTCGAACTCACAGCAATCCTCCTGCCTCAGTCTCCTGAATTCTGGGATCATGGATGTATGGCATCATGTCCAGCAAAATACTTCTTAAAAGTGCTACAGTTTAAGAGTAATAAACCATTTACAATGGTTTATTAATTCTGAGAGAATTCTGAAAGAATTAATTATGCCATAATATATCTATGATTAAATGTTCCAATCACTACAGCCCTAAAACTATTGTATAACTCCCCCTATACCTTACACTGTATTTGGAGTATCTTAGCAACTTGTATTTCTTTTTCTTTTTTCTTTTGTCTTTTTAAGACAGGGTTTCACTAGGCAATTCAGGCTGACCTTGAACTCACAGCAACCCTCCTGCCTCAGCCTCCTCAGTGCTGGACTACAGGAGTAAGCCATCACAGCTGGCAACAACTCATATTTCTAAAACATACATCCATAAACTAAACTTCACTGACTTCACAACAGCTCATAAGGTAGGTAAATTTTACTCCAATCCCTACTCTAAATGATTTTGTTTGCGATAGCATTATATTGCAGCTATTCCAATGTTTTGAAGTCTGTCTGATATTTTTAAATGTATAGAATTAGAAGCACTATTTTCCAATTTGTTTTGAGGTTACTACCCAAACACCAAAACTAGACAAAGACATCACAAGAAAACTACATACTAATATCCCTTCTATATAGTAAGATAATAGCAAGCTGAACCTAGCAACATATAAAAAGAATTATCTACCATGACCAAGTGAGAGCCCAGGAATGGAAGGCTGACTTAATACTTGAAAATCAATGATATATCAATATTATTAAGGTTAAAAACACCCAGAAAATCATCCCCATATATACATAAAAAGCATCTGAAAAAATCTAAACACATTTCATGATAAAATTATAACAAATTAGACACAGGAAGGAGTTGCTCAACCTGATAAAGGCATCTATGAACAACCCCCAACTAATGTTATACTTAATGGACTGAAAGATTTTCCCCTAAAGTAAAGAACAAGACAAAGACACCCACCCTCTCCACTTCTATCTCACACTGTACTGGAAACTTTAAAGAAATAAAAGCATTCAGATTAGAAAGGAGGAAGCAAAACTATCTCTGCAGATGATACAATCTGATTCTATAATTAGAACATTCTAAAGATTCCTCTAAAAAATTATTAGCACTAACAAATAAGTTCAGCAAGGTTCCAAAATACAAGATCAATACACAAAATTGGTTTTTATGTACTATGAATGAATAAGCCAAAAATTAAGAAAACAATTTCTTTTACAGGGCCAGGAATATAGCTCAGTGGCACAAGTGACTGTCTGGCAAGCACAATGTCCTGAGTTTGATTCCTGGTACAAAAAAAAATTTCTTTTACAATAGCATCAAAAACATTAAAATGCTTAGTAATAAATTTAACAAGAAACATGCAAGACCTATACACTGAATGTAAAAAACGCTGAAGGAAATTACAGAAGACACAAATAGAAAGATAAACCATGTTTATAGGCCAAGATACTAAGATGGCAATATTTCCCAAGTGATGTACAGATTCAATGCAAACCTTAATAAAATCCTAGGCACCCCAAGATATTATCAAGGTGATCCTAAAATTCAAATGAAAAAGCAAGGAACCCAGAACAGCCAAAACAGTTTTGAAATGGAGCAAAGTTCCCACATTTCCTGATTCTTAAACACTACAAAGTTGTAGTAATGAAGACAAGGTGATACTGGCATAAGGACATATATTTAGATCAATGGAACACAATTGAGAGTCTGATGAAGTTGATCATCATTCTCCATACACAAAAGAATGAACTCCAAATAGATCACAGGGTGAAATGTCAGAACTAAAAGTATAAAAAGATATAAAGGGGAAATCTAAAAGTGATACTGAGGTAGGCAATGGCATTTAAGGCACCACAAGCCCAGATAACAAACTGACAGGTTGGATTATATCAATACAAGAAATTTTGTTTGTTCTGCAAATACCGTTAAGAAAGTGAAAAGAAGGCTGGGGATGTAGCTTAGTAGTAGAGCGCCAGGCTTAATCCGCAGCACAACACAATACAACAAAGGGCAAAGACAACCCATAGAATGAGAGAAAATATTTGCAAACCACATGTTCAACAAAGGACTAGTATCCAGAATATAAAGTTAAATCATAACAATGAAACTCAGTGTTTAAAAATGAACAGAGAATTTGGATATTTCTCCAAAGAAGATTCAACAGAAAAGACATTCCATACTGTTAGTTACTAGGGAAACAGAACTCAAAACTACAACAATACAACACTTCATATTCACCGAGACGGCTAAACTAAAGACAGCAGCAAGTGTTGGTATGGATTTGGAGAAAGTGCAATACTTGCTCTGCAGGCGGGGATGCAAAATGGTGCAGTTGTTTTGGGAAACGAATTGGCAGTACATACCACAGTTACTACATGACCCAGCAATGGGTCTCCCAGATGTATACCCCCGAGAATTAAAACAACATGTCCAAACAAACACTTGTAAACACAGATTTGTAGATACATTATTCATAATCAGGAAAAAGTAGAAACAACCCAAATCTTCACCAACTGATGAATGGAAAACAAAATGTTTATCTATACAAGGCAAATGATTCAGCAGCAATAAGGAGTTAAGAACTAAGCCATGCCTCATTATAGACGAACCTCAAAAACACTGCACTAAGTGAAACGAGCCAGTTGCAAAACACATACTGTATGATTCCATTTATACAGCTGTGCAGAATGAGCAAGTCTGTAGAGACAGAAAGTAGACGACTGGGAGGAGTATGCAGAGTACTGAATGCTAACAGGCACTGGATTTCTTCTACGTGGGAAAATGTTCTAAAATTACCCTGTGGCAATGCTTGCACAACCCTGTGGCTATTCTGGACACACTGAAATGTACACTTTAAATGGTTGAACTGTGGTATCTTTATATTTCAATAAAGCTGTTTGTTTACGCATATGCATTTCTTGTAATGTGTACTGTACCTTTCTTTGGCTTCTTTGAGTGCAATTTCAAGTCTCTCCACCTTCTGGTTTTCTTCCCTCAGGCAAAGCAGGAGCTGGCTCACAGTCAGTTCCAGTTCAAATTCCAAATACTTTTTGGTGTCTTCTGCAGATTTGGTCCTACATTAAGATACACCCACCACATTCAGTATATAGGTTAAAAGATTTTCATGAGAGGGGCTGGGGATTTAGCTCAGTGGCACAGCACCTGCCTGGCAAGCGTGAGGTCATGAGTTCGATTCCCGATACCAGAAAAAAAACAAAACAAACAAACAAACAAAAAATATTTTCATGAGAAAATGAGAATGTCAAGGCCTAAGAATGGAGTAGCCCTGTATAACTAAAAATAACCTAAAGGAAATGGTTTCCAGAACATTCTCCAATTAATTCTCTTCTGACTGACCATAGTTGATCCTGTGACCTTCAGTGCCAAGCTTGGCCCTACTTTCTGGGGAAGGTATGGGGACTAACAGTGAGGCTCAGACAAGCTAGCCTCACTATGCAAGTACTTGCTGTCTCTAAATGGTGACTGTATACAACAGAAGGCCGTAAAACCCACAGAAACAGTTCAGCAGCCCTGGCTGGAAGTCTCAGGCTCCCAGACATCTCATCTCAAGGAGGCCTGCACCACACAAACTATATAGGCATCATAGACTGGTGGACCTCAAATAACAAAAGCCATCACATTTGCAAGTCACATTACGAGAAGTAAACTTTTTTAGTCTTTGTTTCACATAAAGCAGGGAAATGCAGGCATTGTTGTCAAGTATTTTTTGCCATTTCAAAACACGATTGAAGCTGGGTGTGATGTGCATACCTATAACTCCAGCACTCTGGAAGGTTGAGGCAGGAGGATTGCAAGTTTAAGCCCAGCTCGGGCAATTTAGAGAGACTCTGTGGTGATATATCTCAGTGCAAAGACCGAGAGGGTTTAATCCGCAGTGTCACCAAAAAAAAGATGATTGATTCAAGAGAAATCTGAATGACAGACAAAACCATCTGACCATCTGAACACTATCACAGCTATACTTCAGTCATCTACTCAGACTTACCTGCCTAATAAAAAGCCAGGATAGAATCCCAGGTACCAGGACTCCAAAGTCCAAGTTCTAAAGTAGGAAACAATCTCAGATACGCAGGATACTCATAAATGATACAAACTGTTATTATTTTTTTAAAAGAATTGCAATGTGGCATAAAGAGGAAGTGGGCCTTGCCTGTGGATTTAAATGAGGAGGAAGTGGCTTGAAAATTTCTGACACTGGTTTCTTCCTTCCCTCCACTTCCAGGAATGATTTTTGATATTCAAAACAGTAATCTGGGTAAAAGTTGACAAATTTCTAACTAAAAAAGGGAATAATGTTTACTTTGGGTTTTTTCCAGTACTGGGAATAGAACTCACGACCTCGAGCTTGCCAGGCAGGCGCTGTGCCGCTGAGATAAATCCCCAGCCCCAAAAGGGAATAATGTTTACTTATGCCAGCTTTTCTGTCTGGATGAAAGAATGTTATCTCATACTTACTTTTACTATCTAGAGAGATCCTGACCTGGACAGCTTAGTGAGAGCCTGTCTCAATACAAATAAAAAGGTCTGAGATGTAGTTCAGTATCCCTGTGTTTCATCTCCAGTAATGCTCCCCCAAAAAAAGTTTTTGAGGGAAGCAATCGAGAGAAATTTTCAGATAACTGGCTCACAAATGGATGGACAGTATATATCCCATACACAAAGGATGAGCTAACAGCCTCCTCTGGATGAGCTCTACCTGCCAAGAATCAAGTGGTTCAGGCCCCGGGTTCTACCACCTCTCCCCTTGCAGGCCCTCCCACTGTTTAAGACGTCTGCTTCCTAGTATCTACTTGGCTGCAGCGTTAAATACCATCCAGTATTCTTAAGCTATTCTGATATAAATCAGTCCCTTTTTCAGCCCCTCATGTTTGACCTCCAGTGACAGGCTCAAAGTGACAAGACTCTCCTCTGTCTGCCTGATAGCTCTAGTCTTTCAACACATACATGTCAGTGGAGTCCGCTGTTGGGAGCCTAGGACAACTGTTCTTGATTTCTTTTATTGCCCCTTCAGCTTCTCCTTCCTGTAAAACCAGAAACAAAAGGAATTTAATAAAATGTTTCTGTAAGACAAATTCTTCACTGAAAGAAGAGATAAAAGATCAAGACTATTGATGCCATGCAACCCACAGAATCCAACATTTCAGTGGGCAGTGATTAAACTGGGCCACACAAACGGAATGGAAATGGAAATGTACTCTTTCCTCAGTCCCGACGCCCTGTCAAGATTATAAATACACAGTCTAAGGTGTGAAGGTCAATCTCCTCTCACTGAACACATTGAACCTGACTCCATAAACATGAAAGCTTATCTTCTCTTTTGCTTTGGCACTCCCTCTCTCCCTAAGTTAAGGTCACACAGAGCTGGTGACAGCCCACCTACCTTTCTTGTACAGTCCTTTAAAGTGTAAAATATTAGAATATACTCAAGCAAAATTGAAAAGAGGCAGTTTCCTATGGATGATTTTTACAAAGCAATATTTTTGCCAAGCCGGCCCTTGTTAAAAATGTGCACGCACCACAGCCCATTTAGGGAACAAGAAGGCTAAGAGAAATCCTTACAGGATATGCAAGGCAAGTCATAGTTCAACAAGCTCATGAGGAAAAGTTTCAAAATGCACAAAGATGGTTCTAGGTATTTTGGATACACTCTTTCCAAATCTTGGGCAGTATTTTCCTGTGCACAGAAGCAAAGCCAGCAAAACATGTTTAACAATAACTGTCACTCATCTGTGAGGCAGAAAATGACAGTAACCATGAAAGAAGGAACCTCATTTGGAGGTTCTGATAAGCTCTCTGGATCCTTGAAATTTTATCAGTTATGTGCAGAGGGTCAAAGTTTGTAGATCAAAATTCTGTCTCAGTAGTCTTTGGTCATTTACACAAAGATACCAAGGCAAAGTATGCTTTTCAGTCAAGTTCAACCACTACTAATGTACCTACAGTGCATTAGGAGGTATGTAATCAAACGTAGTAAGAGCCATCTTCTGACTGTATTATATTCCTTTGTGCAGCAGATGAATAAGGAAGTTCCACACTGATACTATAGACATGCCTAGTAGTTTAGGTTTTTTGCAAGTTGCTCCCCACTCCTTGACTTGTCTAAAAACTGCATTTCTCTCTTTCATGAACACAATTAATCTCCTTTCCTATATCAGATATATACTTTGATAGAGTAACTCCAAGACAAGTTCTGTCTTGTCTGCATTGACTGCCTGTATCACAGAGGATTTTATCATTGTGTGTTTTTTTGCCTATCTATCCTGTCTTTTCAGTGATATCAAAGGAGAGGCCACTACATGGCTTATGTACCTGCATTGCTCTTTAACAGAATTGTGTGTACACCCACATACAACACAACAGCCACTTCACAGGAGCTTAGGATCAGCACACACCAACTCACTTAGCACACTTCACTCTGGCTGCACAGAAATTCGAGTTTGGTAGTACTGGCTACCAAACTTCTGAGGTTCCTAAGCGGCTGCTCTTGGGAGGGAAAACACCAAATACCTCTTCAACCCATCCATGAGCTCTGTTCCTCCCCTCACTTCTCATTTTTAATTATCACAATACTCAAAAAGAGGGTTCCACAACTAAAATGTGCTTAAAATCTGTTCGTTTACTACATTTGAGCAGCATTCTGCTTACTTAAGTGAATTGCTCAACACAGCTTTTGAGACTTGGCCTAAAAAATGTTAGAAAATTCATGCTTATAATTTTAGCTTTGGCATTTTTTTACATCAGTCACAAAAATGTTTGCTTTGCCAAAATAAATTAAAAACAAGTAAGATTATGCTTTTCATCATAAAGGGGAGTTTCTATTTTTTCATTTCAACTAGGACAACACTCACAAACACTATCTTATACTTAAAAACCAGGAGCCAATTTATCTTTGCTACAGGGCAATTTCCCTTGGGTACGTGGCTTTCCTACGTTCCTAAGAAATAGTGGTACTTGGCTCATTGTCTAGGTGAGGCTTTGTGCATTGCTTAAAACAAAAACAGAATCAAAGCTCTTACAGCCATCCTAATCTCTACAAAGGAGTCTTCGGAGGAGCCACTGGAGTTGAGCTTGAGCTGCAGCTCGGAGACAATGCCCAGCAGGTCTGCCTTTTCGTCCTGGAGCCGTGCCACCTGTGCTTTCAGCTGCTTTACCGCCTGCTCCGCTTCCACCCTGGGAAACTGGGTGTCACTGGTGGGGTCCTGGGAGTGACAAGGAGCAGAACAAACAAGCCAAAGTAAGGGCCTGGTAGTTTCACTCCATTCCCCACACTCGCAAAGGAGGCAGCTTCTCACCATCTCGCTCTTACTTGGCCATTACCTTAACATACTGTTTAAAGTAGAAATTTTCCATTACTTTGTTGTATTCAAATACTAGAAATTAAAATATAAATAAATAAGTAAATATATGAATGAAGATGGTAAGAGAGAGAAGGTGAGGCAGGGAAGGGGATTAGAAAGAATCAAGCTGTGTCATGTCACGTACCAACTCCCCACAATGAATGCAATCATTAGGTATTACAAACATGTACCAGTAAAAGAGAATCAAAATTTAAAATAATTTTATGACCAGAGTGAGTTCCATAGCACACTGAACAACCGGATATTATTCAAATAACCAACTAGAGTTTGAAAACAGTAGACTCCTAAGTCATGGCCCAAAACTCCAGAAAATAATGACAAAAAGCTGCTACACCTGATTCTTTGGGTTTTTTCCCCACTCAAATATGCCTGCTTACCCCACCTCCCAGTACTTGCATGTTGACTTAGAAGCCAAAGCACTATGGACATCATTTGGCTCAGTAATTGTAAAATACAATGAAAGCCCTAAATTCTTTCAATAAGTAAGCTGGTGAGTATAATACTCTATGTTGGCATTTTAAGGTTGCTAATGGTAAATCTGGTGGAAAACAAAATTTAAAATCTGAGAGGCTGATATCAAAGCTAAAAAAATAAACTTTAGCCTGTATAAACACTAATAATAAGCATTAATATTTCACAAGTTTCAAGTATGTGTTATGTTCACCCTGTTGCAATGACTGCACATGACAAACTCACAGGAGGAAGAGCCTGGTCAGATGTGTTTTCACTTGGGAGCAGGGTGACTGGATCTAGTACACACTCCGCTGACCACTGCCACTATGGCCTGGAGCAGACTCGCTAATGTTTCTGGCCACAGGTTTTGTGGGTTAGAAGACATGGTATCCCCTGGCCTGTGGCCCCTTGCAGTGGTGCCGCCCAAACCTCCCAGTCCCTCCGAGGAAACCTCCCTGGCTCTTCTGTGCACGGCACCATGCTTCAGCTCCCTTCCCAAACCGAAAGTGCAGCTGCTGAGAGCAACAGAAAATTGCAACACACACACACACACACACACACACACACACACACACACACACAGAGTACAGCATCAAATAGACCAACTTTTAAAGAAAGATCTTTATTACCTGCAGAAATTTATAGCTGATTAAATACTATCTATGGATTGTCCTAGCAAAAATTTCTATCAGTTATTTTCTACTTGCAGTCAACACTGTCCAAGTAGACTGTTCTTTTCTATGTTATTCTGCCCTAACAGATTCCCCAAGGACTAGAAAACATGTCCAAAGGCTCGTGGTGGAATTGAAGCAGTACTCACAAACCAGCTAGTCCATCAAATGTCTCTCAGCAGAGGTACAAATACTGACTTGCCTTCCCACTACCAGTATAATGCTCTCCCTTCACATGCAGCAGTCCCTGCAGGCCTCCCGAAATGCAACTCATATGAACCTAGAGTGAGGTTTTGAACAGAAGTCTATATAACCTCTCTTGGTAGTGACTCATATAAAAGGAAACTATTTAGAGTGAAAAATGAAAGCCAGGCATGGTGGCACACGCCTGTAACCCCAGCACTCCAGAGCTGAGGCAGGAGGACTGCTGTGAGTTTGAGGCCAGTCTGGGCTACATAGTGAGCTCAAGGCCAGCCTGAACTGCACAGTGAGGAAATTAGGAAATTTTAGAGGTACCCTCTTGGCATCTCTATAGACATTTTATAGAATGAACTTTTACACTCCTTGATGGAAGGGTAGAAGGAAAAAAGGAAATAGTTTTAAATAAGTGTCTGAGAACAAGTATCTAAGGTTGTGAAACTGGGACCTCAGATTATTAGGCTAATTTTTTTAATCATACCTGGGAAATCATGCATTCAGTTAGTTGACATAAAACACTGTAAAGATAATTTCTGTTTCTTCCATTTTACTATGGAGACTCTTCCCATTCCTTCCCTAGACTAGAACTCCCACAGCCCCTCTTTGCTCTCTACCCCAATCCACTGTTATTCTATTGTTTTTGAACACTTAGTTACCCGGTGACACAATGTTTCTGTCTTTCCATACATTCGTAGCATCTTCCCATCTCACTGTCCTGAACGCTGCCCAGGTGACCCGCCATCTCAGGAGGAGTCTGCCTTGTGGCTTCTGTCCAGATATAGGTACAATTAAAAGTTAGAAAGTACTCTCTGCAGATGAACTGAATGCAAGATTCAGTGAAATGGAATGGAATTCTTTCTCTCAAGCACCTCACATCCCCAGAGTCCTGCTGGGAGCTGTGTTCCTGGATCATCCGCCTTGAAAGCAGCTGTGCAGAGCTCCGGCTTCTGATCTCAGCCTCTTCCAATTCTAGAACCTTTTAGGAAAACCTAGAGGTGGACTATCTCAGAAAAGATAAACTGTCTGGAGGCTCACCTCTTAGGTTCAGTGTGATAGGCTCCTGCAGACTGAGGCCAGCTACCAGCTCACATTCCAAAATTCAAGGAAGGGAAATAATGTCAGATATTTTTTTCCAGAAAGTAGAAAATATAGACTGTATCTCTGGTGATCATTTCTTCAGAAAATTCTACCTCAAAAATATTTAGCTAATCAGAGATTTGTCCCTGCCAAAGAAGGAAGTTAATGCTCTTTGAACTGTAAGATAAACTGAAAGATAAGGCATAATAAATCTTATCAACAAAGAAACACTTCCAATATAAATGCAGGTTTATTGGAGCAGAATGTTCATTGCCCCATGGGCAGGAGTTCACGAGATCACCAATATGAACTATACAATTTTTTCTAAGTCACTTTTCAGTGCTTTATTCTACATCAGTCCCCCCTTTCTGTCCATTTTGTTTCTTTGTTTCTATGCTTTACTCACCAACAAAATAAAGATGAACAAAGTTCAAGGTAAAGTCTCAAGAAAAATCACTGATATTGGAGTAAATCTCTCCATAACCAATCCAGTGCTTCATCCTCCAAGGGTTAAGCACCAGGTATAGCAGAAAATGGGCATCTGCTTATGTCCACCTAAATGAATGAGAGCCAGAGAGCCTTGGTGGACCAGCAGGAACTCCACACATCCTCTGGTCTGGTTTTCACTAACATCTTTGACATCCATTCCTGAATATTCCCCCAGGTTCTCTGGATCAACAAAAATGTGTGTATTTCTCTCTTTAACCAGAGCAACCCTAGTCAGGTTCCTATCACCACATGGCATTTGGGAAGTGAATACCCAAAAGGAAAATGTAAAGTGAATAACCTCTATTTTCCACTGAGAAAACAGACTAAGTCAGTAAGTAAACATTCTGAGTAATATATTTTCAAAATGTAATTTATTTCAAAGACATAAATGAAAAGCAACAACTGGATGGTTTTAGACCGAGGTCCTTCTGCACCATGTGTAACAAAACACTGATTTATAAGCTCTGTATTGTTTTGGCTACAATGGTTAAAGCTTTACAAATTTCTCACTCTCAGCAGAGATTACACTGACCTTGCAACCAGTCTTTCCAGCAAAAATACTTCTCAGACCAGTCCAGCCTGAACAATGAAAGGAGTCTCCATAAATAACATCCTACTGCAGGTATTGAGAAAATAAAATCACAACTGATCAGTTTGCTCACCTCTAATACTTTTTGTGATTCCCCTTGTAGTTTTTCAAGCTTTTCCTTCAATTTTTCATTTTCACGACTCAAGGCCATCAAGTGCTCTTTGGCTTCTTTGCTCTGGATCTCGAAAAACTGGCGTTCTTCCTTCTGTTTCTCTGTCCAGGCTGACAGCTCCTCAAATCGCCCTTTCATAGCTTGATTATTTAGCTTCATGGCTTCTGTAAGGGATTTAGAGGGAGGAGATACACCAGGAGGGAACACACCAGGAGACTGGGCAGAATTTCACACATCAGTCCTCCCATTGCCTGGCTCTGAATCTAAACACACCAGGCTGGATAGCACCGCAGGGTCAGCGGGAAAAGAACTAAAACAAGCTGAGTGCTTTTTGCTTCCAGACAGAACTAGCAGGTCTAGCATCATTTCTAGTCCTTAAAAGATCAAGCAGCTGGAGACAGTGGAATATGCCCAGCTACTTGGGAGGCTGAAGCAAGAAGATTACAAATTCAAGGCTGGCCTGGGAAACTCTGAAAGATGCTATCTCAAAAAAACCCTCAAAAAACAAAAAACCAAACAGTCCTAAGAAAATAAAATTGATTTAGGTCCCTTCACTATAGCAGAAAATCTCACTAGTAAGGATAGCTGGGCATGTAACAGAGCACTTGCCTACCATGTGCAGGACCCTGGCTTCAATCCCCAGTACTGAATGAAAGAAAGAATGACTGCATGAATAAACAAACCAGCACACTGAGGAAGGTCTTATCACTCCTTACTTAGAACATAGGTCCTCCCAAAAGCCATGGCTTGAGATATCAGAATGCTTTCTCTTTAACAGACATAATTTAGGACTAACTCTGTAATTGTAGCAAACTTTCTCTTATTTTCCTCTAAAATGCACTAAACATCATTACACCATTTCCCTGAGAATCAATTTTCTTTCTTTTTCTTTCTTATCTATCTATCTGTCTATCTATCATCTATCTATCTACTTACCTATCAACCTACCTACCTACCTACCTACCTAATGTGGAGTTGGAGAATAGATCCAGGGCCTCATGAATGCCGGCTCTACCACTGAGCTACCCCTTCTGTCTCAAATACTTTTAATTTTTACCTGTATTCAGAAGTAAACACTGAAACCATCTGTGTCCTATCAAAAGCCACCCTCAGCTTTTTCTTCCCCCAGGGAAAGGAGAAAGGAGCTAACCTTTGATCTTTATTACCAGAGGCTTTGTTCCGGGAAGGGCTGGGAGTAGAGAACTGCTCACCTTTCAGCTGGTGGTTCTCAACCAGGAGCTCTTTCATCTGCTGCAGCAGCTCCTCTGGAGTGAATGTGTCCAAGTTGGGGTGAGCCAGACTGGGGGGTCCATTCCCTGTGGTTTCCCCAGGGCTGTCCCCCTTTTCAGTCAGGCAGCTGAGCGCTTGGTAGGACATAGCAGCAGTTCCTATGAAATAGCCACAAACTAAAATTATACCTGCCTTCCTTCTGCCGTGGGCCTCTATAAGTCCCACAAATCCTTTAATAATTGTTAATACAATATTTATTCCCAAAGTTGCTAGCTTTCTCTCTAATTGCTTTTTCTCCTTCCTTCCTTCCTTTCTTCCTTTTATATTGGGATTGAATCTAAGGGCTATCACTAAGCTACATCCTCAGCCCTGAGCCTTGCCAAGTTGACCCAAGCTGGCCTCAAACTTGTGATGCCCCTGCCTCAGCCTCCCAGGTAGTTGAGATTACAGGTGTCACCATAGCACCCAGCTTCCAACTGCATTTTGAACATCTTTGATTCTTCCTTTTAACACATTCATGGTGGGACTATAGGGGCCAGGGATATAATAGCTCAGGGGCACAGTGTCTGCCTGGCAAGTGCAAGGTCCTGAGTTCAATTCCCAGTACCAAAAAAGAAAAGAAAAAGCAGATGCGACTATAATTCCTATGTCTTACTGCTGGGCAGCTCGAACCACTGGTGGTACATGCATGACTGTCCCATCAGGTGGCCTTTTATTAATTTTATTAGTTAAAAAAAACCAATAAAAGTGATCAGATCCATTTGTACCGCCGACGGTATAAGCTGCCTGATGACTCATGCATGCACCACCAATGTGGTGTGTGTGTGTGTGTGTGTGTGCACATGTGTGCATGCCTGTGTCGATGGGTGTAAAGAGAGGCCCAGTGAGGAGTTGCAAGTGTAAGAAAAGACCCATACTCCTGACATAGTGACCACCACATGTGGAAAGCATCACTACATAAATTCTCCCATGCTAATCTTTACCTTCTAAACTTCTTATTCTGAGTGAGTTGTATGGTATGTGAATTATACCCCAGTACACTTGTTTAAAAATTTCCCTTTTGGGGGCTGGGGATTTAGTTCAGCGGCAAAAGCGCCTGCCTGGCAAGCACAAGGTCGTGAGTTCGGTTCCCGGTACCGGAGAAAAACCAAAAAAAAAAAAAAAAAATTCCCTTTTTTATTGCTTATAGTTTTAGTTAAAAGAAAAGTGAGAGTTAACCTTTTTCAATGTTCCTATGTGCTCCAACTGCATACCAATCACACCCTGTCTCAATGCTTCATTAAAATACAACTATTTCACATGTGAGGAAGAGCTGAGTCCCCAGGGGTGTGTGGGTCATCCAAAGTCACCAAGTGGGACAACCAGGCATGAAGGTGGACACAGAAACCCAACAACGCAAAAAAGGTAATACTGAATACTAAGACTTCCATGTTATATTTTCCAAAGCACACACCAGAAAAATAAGCTATCTTATTTAGTTATCACATATTCTGAAAATATTTTCATACATACCACTTTATTCTTTAGAGGAGTCAATATGGACATATAAGATAGATGAGTGACTCTCAGTCCCACTTCTTTAGTATCTACTAAGAACGGAAACATAAACATCTCTAATCATTGGCCACAGGCTCCAGGCAAACGTTTTCATCTTCATAGCTCATGAAAATGGTAAGTGTCTTCCATCAAGGGCTGATGTCAATGATTATAAAACAATACAAAGAAAAGGCCACTCCTACCTGTACTCTGACACTATGTGCACACTCCTACTCTACAAAGCAAAAAGGGACTATGTCTAGAGAGACACCTGAAAAGGCATTTAATTATACACAAGATGTTTACCCTTACAAAATGTTTCTTCCCCAGCTACTCGGGATTAAACCCAGGACTTCAGCACTGAACTACATTCAAAGCCCTTCTTTAAAAAATTTTTGTTTTAATTTTGAGATAGGATCTTGCTAAGTTGCTAAAGTGCCCAGGCTGGCCTTGAACTTGCAATTCTCTTGTCTCGGCCTCCCAGAGTGCTCAGATTACAGGCATGCACCACCATGACTTGCTTAACCTTCACCTTACATTAGCCATTTCCAGTAAAATTTTAGTCAAATATAAGCAACCTTGACAGGAATCTCTAGCTGGGAGCAGTGGCACATGCCTATAATTCCAGCACTATGGGAGGCTGAGGCAAGAGGTTTCAGTTTACAAAACAAATTTGAAGCCAGGTATGGTGATGCATGCCTGTAATCCTAGCACTGGGGAAGCTGAGGCAGGAGAATCATTGTGAGTTTATGGCTAACCTGGGCAACGTAATGACACCGTGTCTCAAAAAACTCCCCTAAAACTTCACCCACAAATTTGACTCCATCTGTATATGCTGTTACTATACAATTATGATAAAGCAGAAAGCAGTGACATCACCAGAACCCCTGGAAGATGAGGAAGGCACTCAGAAGGGAGCAATTCCACCTCTTCTGGGGGTAAGGCATCAGACCCATCAGCTCCCCATGATTCCAGGACTATGGAGACAGTGTGACATTTGGAGCTGCAGTCCCTTATGTGTGAAATCAGTCCCTGGAAGAGAGGTAGGAGGACAGCCTCCTCTCTGCCATAACTGCGTCACACCACCAATGTACACTCCTAATTGCTTCCCACACCAAGAACAGGCAGAGTGTCCTCTGGAACCCACAGCCTGGCACCTGATTTGGTTCCAGGAACTTGCAGCTACTGGGGACAGCAGGCTGTGTGCTGACTGCCAGAGTGACTTCATTCTAAAGCAGCCACAGCAAAGCAGAGACATGTGAGGAGGACGTGAGGCAGGAGGGAAAACCACAGATAAACATATGTCTCAATTGTGAACCTCTTGTCTGTTTTACAGAACCAAATTAATTAGAAAAGAGGTAACGCAGAGAAGTGTTTTATCACTTAGCATTAGGTGACAAAAACAGACTGTTTTTTTTTTTTTCTCCCCATTTCAAAACTTCTGGATAAACTGCCAACTTCTCACTTGCTATAAAATTCTTTTAATTTTTTTCACAGAATGATCTTGGTGCCAACATTTCATAAAAATGGACTTTTACTGAGTAAGAGTGTACTCCCCTGTTTTGCAGAATAAAAATAAATTAGAAGTAATAGACCTAATAGTAATAGAAGTAATAGACCTTACAATACGTATCATTTACATGAAAACCTAAAATTTCCTTAGGTATTTAGTGCTTACATCACACTTTGGAAAGGCCATGGAAGTATTTAACAGACTTTTATTTTATTTTATTTCTTGGTATCAGGGCTTAAACCTAGGGCCTCACACGTGCTAGGCAAGTGCTCTATCAACTGAGTGACATCCCAGCCCAAAAGATTTTGTTTTCAAGTATCTAAGCAGGTATGTGGAGATGTGTTTGGTTTCACGTTCATTATATGAACAAATTTCTCCTTAATGGCTTTTCCAAGGAAAAGAAAGTGAAGGAGAAGGAAAAGGGGAAGAGGAGAGGGTAAAGAAGAAAAGGGAGAGAGCTATTGCTTGAAGATGGTTTGTTTCTCTCCTCCTTGACCTTCATTTACCTATACCTTTACCAAGTCTATAGGGACAACCACAATAACATTAAAATTGGTTCTAGTTGTGACATTGGTGCTTTTTTCTCAGGTTGCCCAGGTTTTATCAAGACACTGGGATAGGAAGACTTGTTCTAAGAGAGGCATACTCACACCGCTAGTCAGTTGTGTGGACTACAGGAGTCAACTGACCTTTGTGACTAAGGATTCATCAAGCAAATGAAAATCCTTATGGCTGCCATCAGCTCGACAGACCTGGGAAAGTAGTTACAGTAAGGTCACAGTCCACCCTCAATTCAGACATGCTCAGTATCTTACACAGCACGCTATTCTCTCTCCAAATACACACACTTATCCTAGTTACAGCAACTCTGCTATCCAGTGTTGTTAGGAGGAACACTCTGTGACTCAAATGGCATGAAGTTAGCACATATGGCAAACAAAAGCATGTAAATGCTTACTTTTAAAATTTTACTAACCCATTTAGGCCCAGTGTGCCATTTTTAGAATGCCACAAACAATGAAACTTAATACAGTAAAACCTTGTATTGCAAGGAGTTTGGTGACTATTCTACAAGACAAGCAAACATTTCTAATAAATTTTTCTTTTTCATACCAGGAATCAAATTCACAACCGTGTGCTTCCTGGGCAAGCGCTGTGCCACTGAGCTATATCCCCAGACTATAAATTTTAACTTGATAAACAAAAAATGTTCAGCAATATGAGTAGTATGTGACACTAAGTGTCACATGATCATAACTGAGCAAAGGGTTCCCATCTCCCTCCCTTTTCCCCCCTCCCTCATTCCCTCCTTCTCTCCCTCTGCAGGACTGCGGATGATCTGTCTCCCAATACAAGAAGTTATGGAGAAGATCTCATCCACAAAGAAAGAGAAAAAGTGGAGGAATCCCTCACTTCAAATGAGATTAGGACATGTATAAAGTGTGTGAAACAGTGCAAAATTTTGTAGAAAAGCATCACCCAAATGGCTGTAGCAGTGTGAGCGATGAATCTGTTTAAGGACAAAGCAATGTCATATTTCTGCAAAATCCTCAAAAAGAGGCAAAGGCAAGTGTCATTGGGTAGATTCCTTTTGAAAGTTGAAAAAGATTACATTGAGCCAACAGCAGTGATTCTGTCAGTGACAGTGGAAGTCATCCTGCATAATAATCCTCCTCTCTCCTCTCCCTCTCACCATCCATAAACGTTTTTAAAGGTAAGTGCAGCTTAATTTATTTTTCTTTATAATTTTGTATTATCTTACAGTATTGTAATTATTTTTATAAGAATATTTTTGAGTTGTGGAACAAATTGAGATAGGTGATTAGAGCATGGCAAAACTGGGGAAGTAGATGTGACTTGTTAATTATGAGACCTCAGGCACATGGGCAGAACAGTTCTGAAAGTCCTACTGCATATGGACTTCTCATAAGAAGTCAAGCAGGTTTCAGTAGGATGGCCTGGACCTGACCTCAGCCTAAGGAGTGGGATCCCAGCACCACCTCTCAGAAGGTAGAAGTTCTCAAGGGTTTCCTCCAGATGTGGACGGTACAAAAGAACACAGATGTTGGGAAGAGCTTACTATCATGACTTTCTTCAC